GCAGGAATCAGCTCTAGGACATGGGTGAGGAAACAGTGTCACACCATGACCACAGTCACCTCAAAGATTGGAGGAACCAAACTCAGGCTTCTTGGACACCCTTAGTGAAAGACCTAAAAAGTAATGTTAATGATGGACTAACCTGGAAACCAATATCTGTTCCTTGGAATTTGCTAGCTTCCTCTCACAAGGCCCTGAGATAAGAAGAATTCACACTGCCCCTCCTTTCTGCCCCTCCTTTCCTATGAGTCAACAGGTGGTAAATAGGGTCAAGAGATAGCTGTAACTCTGGTTTGCCCAGATAAGATTAATTAGCACACCTGAGGCCCTAAGGTCTGCTGACCCTAAGAGCAGACCATCCGGCCTCCAAGGGTCCCACCCCCTCCCTAAGCTTGTGGGTTTGCCTTTAAAAACACCTGGGCCCAGGGGAGGGGGCTTCTCTCTAGCCTGCGTGCTGGAGGAGCCCGTTTGCGCAAAGGTTTCCTGCTCATTAAAGCCTCTTGCATTTTACAGCAACTGGACTGGACATTGAGTTCTTGGGGTATCGACCGAACCTGGAAGACTCCTCATTCTGAGGGTCTTACATTAGCAAGTCTGAATATATTGGCAACTACATTCAAACCCTAGCACGGTCACACATGACATGACTTTGAACTTAGCCTTCTGTGATCAGTCCTTTTTGTTCAGGGAGAAAGGAGCTTCCTGGGGATAGGTAGGACAGATGGAAGCTTCTGGAACCTACAGCAGGCATCACCCCCACGTACTTTGTTTCTACATCTACTCCATCCTTCACCAGGCCCTGGTCCACAGCTGCCACCTTTGCTTTAAAGCCTGGAGATGTTCACATCACAGAGAGCCAACATGCTAAGGGGATTAAAACGGGAGCTCCAGAACCAGCACAGTAAATCTGGCTTTCATTCTGCCTCTGCATCCAGCCCTGAATGTAAGACCTGAGCAGACAGCTAAGCTGGGAAGAAAGGAAAGGTATTAGGAGAGATTTAAGGAGGGGAAGTGACTCTGCCCATCAAGGGTATCCCGAGCCCTGTACACAACTTCCCAGAGCTCTGGGTCCACAGGGTGATCTGTGGCCCTCTCAGACCCAGGGTTTGTTGTCCCTACTAAGCCCCAGGGGCATGTAAACCCCCCTGCTCCAACCTTGCCATCCTCCCTGTTTTCCCCTCAGGCCCAAATCCACAGGGCCCTGGCTCCACTGACTCCACTCTCCCTTGGCTCATGGTTTGCGAAGACTCCAAGTTCTCCCAGGCTTTGCACGACCATTCCTTTCTTGTAAGCTCCCTTATCTGGCATCTACAGACACAGTGTGCCTCACAAGGGACCATCTAGGGGGCCTGAGAGATGGCTCAGCAGTTAAGAGCTCTGGCTGTTCTTCCAGAGGACCTGGGTTCAATTCCCAGCACTCCCATGGCAGCTCACAACTGCCAAATTCCAGCAGATCTGAGACCACCACACCTATGCACATAAAATGTACTTAATGAATCATTTTTAAAATTGTCCATTTGGGTCACTCTTATCCAACAGAGCACCATCTGGTTTGTTTGAGCACTAAGAGCAGTGCTTCTCCTCTTTTCTGCACTTGCAGGCTTCTATCTCATGCATCGGAAGACACTTTCCTGGCATTTTCCTTTGGTTTTGTAATCTACATAGGACTACAGCATCCCCACTGCCCGGAAGAGGGCGCCAAAACCACAGTGTGGGATCAATGCAAAGCAGGACTCAGGGCAGTGTGTGGCCATGGGATCTGCAACAAGACATTGCCCATTGTGTTCCCCAGGTAGAAATGTAACGCAAAATCAGCTGTTGGAGGGGTTTCTGAACCTGCTTGTGCACCCGTGTGATGAAAACCAGGCTGCCTAGTAGGTGACAAGCTGGAGGGCCACAGCAACTCTTCCCAACTCCAATATACACAAGAGGTCAGCAGCCGGCACATAGACACTCAGCAAAGCTGGGCTCCTGCCTCTCACAGCAGCAGCATGTAGGAGCTGAGTGCCAGTATCTGGCAGCACACAGAACTCTTGACAGTGGACAAAAATGAACTACCTAGCCTGTGGAGTGGCACAGTCATCAAGTACCAGGCAGGGGCAGGAGGAACTCGGTGTAGTGACAGAGCTAGGAGAGGGTTGGAAATCATGACAATGATGGTGATTTCCATAACCTTGGGTCTGCACCCAAGTGTTTATAAAGCTGTTGAGCAGGTAAAATTCAACTTGGGTCTGCAGCAGCCAAGTGACTGCTCCTGGGTATCACCGGTGGCATGGAAGCCAGGAGGCCACATGGGGGTCTTTCTTTCCTTTTTCCAGTTTCCCTGTGAGTGCATGCACATGTGTTTGTGTGCATGAACGTGCGCATGTATGTATGCACATTCATGTGCATGCACATACATGCATGTGTATGTGTGCATGTGTGCATGTATGCACATGTGTGTGAGTGTGTACATGCACATAGGCCCAAGGCTGACACTGGGAGTCATTCTTGATCACTCTTCCACCTTATTCCCTGAGGCAGGGCCTCTCAAGCAGACAGAAATCACTAATGGCCTGTACTGTTGACTAGCTTGCTCTGGGGCTCCTGTCTCTGCCTGGAACTACAGCAGGTGGGCTGCTATGTCCACTTGGCATTTATGTGAAACACCAATCTCTATGCTTATGTGGCAAATGCTTCAAATGCTAAGCCATTTTGCCATCTACTCTTGGAGGACTTATCCTCATCTGCTTGAGGCCTGGGCCATCAGGACATGAGTTATCTGGCACATGTGCACCTGCTATGAAGAAGCATAAGACCAGGCTCTGGAACAGCCTCTTTCAACCTGTCTCATGCAGAGGAATCTGATGGGTGGCCCCTAATATGTATAAGCCTGGGTTGAGACATCAAAAGGTATCCAGTATGGGCAGAGCCCTCTGGAGATCTCAGCCATGGACTGAATATCAAGCTCTGTTATGGGTTCAGTGACTACCTACTTCCGACAGAGCACATGGGAATGGCCTCTGGTCCAGGCACTTCTCTGAGCCAGACAGAGGAAGATTTGGAGTCCAAGCCAGCTCTATACCTTCTCTCCAGAGAGTAAGAATAGAAGATGCCTTTCAGGCAGGTTCCCTTGAACAGGCAGGGTGGGTGCTGGGACCCGCTAGAAGGAGGCTACAGGCCAGAGGTCAGAAAGAGTCAAAGGCAATAGTGGCCACTTGGTTTGTCACCAGACTGAGCACTGCCTTCAGGCCTTAACCCTACAACCCCAACCCCATCACAGGCTTGGTGACCCTGGAGATAAGAGCCCCCTGGGCCTCTCCAGCAGCTTCCCCACTGGGAGATAAGCAGGGTCTGTGTGGGGGCTGATAGGTAATGGCTACCACAGCAGTTGGCCAGTGGCTGCTCATCAACTCCATCACTGCTCACTGCCAGGAAATTCTTATTTGTAGGAGCCAGCAATGTACCACCTGGCCCCTGAGGATGCAAATAACTTGGAAAGCTGGGGTACACCCAGATCCCAAATCACATCCCATGGAGCATGTCCTTCACAGGGGTAGGGCAGGCTGCAAACCACAAGGGCCTTGCTTCTCTATCTAAAAAATGAAGGTAGTAACAGTTATGTGGATGAGGACAGTGGATGATGTTCTACACTGATGTTGCTGACCTGGCATCTGGACCTTTGTAGCAAGACACAGTTCCCAGCCAGTGATATGGACTGCCCTTCCCTGCCCTGTACTAATGGGATCACCTATGGCTTATTACCAGACAAAATCAGGACAGAATGGAGCTGCTGCCGCTACAGGTCCAGCATGGCCATTTCCGCTACTGCTGTCATTTTGTTCCAAATGGGGATTGAACCAAACCACCTGCCAGGCGTGCTACTGTGGCTAACTGCCAGCTGGCCCACACCCAAGACAGCATCCTTCACCCCACCCTGGCCTTTTATTCCAGTATTCAGATCTTGACCCCCTAATGAAAACTCTGCCCTTAGGACCAAGCCGCTCCTTACCATTGATGACAGAATTCCTGCAACACTGCAGTGAAGTGGGTTTGACCCTGTGCTGGCCCCATGGGGCCATGCCTTATACCTGCTCAGTGGCCACAGAAGTCCACAGACACATGATCCCCACCATCCCCAGCTGGCATAGACCATAGACGTGGAACAGGGTCACACGGGGACTCCTGACGCTGAGTCAGTACTCACAGACTGGCTTTCAGCTGGAGAAACTAAGTCAGCATAGGGCTGGCTAGAAACTGGGCCATCTGAACACCAGGCTCTGCCCAGTTCCATGGCTTTGGATATGTGAGTGGACAGGGCTGGTCTATGAACGGGAACCGCTCTGGTACCCATGTGATCAAGTGGTCAATTGCAATATCTGTTCCTTGGAATTTGCTAACTTCCTGTCACAAGGCCCTGAGATAACAAAAATTCACACTGCCCCTCCTTTCCTGTGAGGTGGTGAATAGGGTCCTTAGGAAACAAAGAGAAAGCTGCAACTCCGGTATGCCCAGACAAAATTAATTAGCACACCCTGAGGCCCTAAGGTCTGTTGACCCTAATAGCAGACCATCAGGCCTCCAAGGGTCATGTACACAATGGACAGAGGGTTCCACCCCCTCCCTAAGCTTGTGGGTTTGCCTTTAAAAACACCTGGGCCCAGGGGAGGGGGCTTCTCTCTAGCCTGCGTGCGCAAACGTTTCCTGTTCATTAAAGCCTCTTGTGTTTTGCAACAACTGGACTGGACATTAGTTCTTGGGAGTACCGACCGAAACTGGAAGACTCCTCATTCTGAGGGTCTTACAGATGTTGAAGGTCTGCATGTGGTTTTTGTCTTTAAAAAAAACAGAAGAAAAAAAAAAAAAACCCAAAATCCCTCCCCCATATACCCTTCTTTATGGTAATCTCAAAATTGGCTCAGAGACTGACATGGTGCTAGCAGTTAATCAGTAAGTCTTCTCATTATAGTTGGATCGAGTCTATGGTCTTTTCTCAGGGGTCGGAAACTATGACAATGGACTATCATGAGACAATTAAATATGTATTAATGAAAGAAAAATCAAGATAGTCAACAGCTTGACAAATGAAGTCTTCAGGAAATTTACTGGGTTCATCTGTTGCTGGTTTTTCTTAGTCTTGGGCTGAACTCTTAGCTCACAGCTTTAAAAAAAAAAAAAGATAGCTCAGATGGAGGCAAACCCACAGCCTCAAACAGTCTCGCTCTCCTGAGTGGCTCTCGATCTTCGTGCCTTCTCCCTACCACCACTTCTCAAAGCAAATGTGTTCCTTGGGAACTTGGCTGTCTTCCAGTTGCTTAGAGAAAAAGTCAGTCATGGGAGGTGGGCCACAGATATAAAACAGAGTCTCTGCTGACACGTGGTCACTTATCTCCTTCTCTGTTATTCTTCCTTCTACCAAAAAACAGAATAAACATCAGTCAGGCTAAGCATGTTTGCGTCCTGACCTACCACAGCTGGGTGGCAGAGCTCACCCGCAGGGGTATGAGCCTGACCTACCACAGCATTCACCTGCAGGGGTGAGTATGACCTACCACAGCACTCACCCGAAGGGGTGAGTATGACCTACCACAGCACTCACCTGTAGGGGTGAGCCTGACCTACCACAGCACTCACCTGCAGGGGTGAGCCTGACCTACCACAGCACTCACCTGCAGGGGTGAGTATGACCTACCATAGCACTCACCTGCAGGGGTGAGCCTGACCTACCACAGCACTCACCTGCAGGGGTGAGCCTGACCTACCACAGCACTCACCTGCAGGGGTGAGCCTGACCTACCACAGCACTCACCTGCAGGGGTGAGTATGACCTACCACAGCACTCACCTGCAGGGGTGAGCCTGACCTACCACAGCACTCACCTGCAGGGGTGAGCCTGACCTACCACAGCACTCACCTGCAGGGGTGAGTATGACCTACCACAGCACTCACCTGTAGGGGTGAGTATGACCTACCACAGCACTCACCTGCAGGGGTGAGCCTGACCTACCACAGCACTCACCTGCAGGGGTGAGTATGACCTACCACAGCACTCACCTGCAGGGATTGAGCCTGATCTCTCCAGGCATCTCAGTCCTACAGCAAGCAAAGCAGAAGGCTGGTCAGGTCACCAGCTGCTCTCTATAGAGAGGGTCCACACACTGACTTGCCTTTGTAGAGTTAAAAACTGCCTTCAGCAAAGTAAATGACCATTTTATTTAAAAGATTAAATCGTTTTAGGATGGTATGATGGCTCAGCAGGTAAAGGTGCTCCTACCAAGTCTCATGACCTGAGCCTGATTCCCTAGACTCACAGATAGAAAGAGAGCACCAACTCCCAAATGGTAAATGTTGTCTTTTGATCTTCATGCATACCTGCAAACAGGTGTGTATGTATGCTCGCGCACACATGCACACACGCAATAATTTAAGATAACTTTAGCTAGGTGTGGTGGCTAAAACCTTTAATCTCAGCATTTGGAGTGGAGAGGCGGATGGATCTTCATGAGTTCCAGTCCAGCCAAGACTACACAGTAAGACCTTATCTCAAAAACACTAAAACAAAAAGTAAATATAAAAAAAAACTTTAAGGACTCCTAAATAGAGAAACAGAGTAATTTAAATAACTATTAATAGTAAATGGGATCGATTCATCCAAATCAGGAGTATAATTTGCTTATCTGTATACTACAGGCATGACATGCCAGAGCCCACTAAAAATTGTGAAAATACAATTTTAATATGGGCAGTAAGAAACCTATCTATAATAAGTAAATCCAAGTAAGTATTTCTTTATAAACTGTCTCAGTTCCCTTGGGAATGACATTCCCAGCAGGTTACTCCTAATAGTAAAACATCTATGCTTAACCAACTGGTTCGTCTTTCCAATAACTGCACAACTAGACAAAATCTCTTTAGAGGACTCACCTGTGATGTATGGCTTAAGCTCTGGACTGATCTGTGATGTCTGTTTTGTAACATGCAAACTGCAAGTAATCTTCTCTGGAAATTCATTTACTAAATCGAGGATATTTTTCTGGAATGTCAAACAAATTGGGTCAAACTACAATTAAAAAAAAAAAAAAAAAAAAAAAAAAAAAAAAAGCAAGCAAGCAAACAAACAAAACTAAACCAAAGCTGGGTATGGTGGTAGAACACCTTTACTCCAGAACCTGGCAGTCAGGGATGGTGGATCGATAAGTTCAAGGACAGTCTGGTCTACAAAGCAAGTTCTGGGCCAGTAAGGTCAAATGTCTCCAAATCACCCCCACCACAACCTCCTCCTCCACCACCTCCTCCTCCTTCACCACCACCCACCTTCTGTTTTTTGAGACAGAGTCTCATGTAGTCCAGGCTGGCCCTGAATTTGTATATGGTTGGGGTTGGCCACGATTGCCAGATCTTCCAGCCTTTCATGCTAAGTGCTGGGATTACAGGTGTGAGACACCATGCCTGGCCCTAGTGACTTTCCTGTTCCATTAACTTGTAGATTCTACCCCACAGTGGTGGTTTGAATGAGAATGACCTCACAGGCTCACAGTTTGAACACTTGGTCCCAGATGATGGGACTGTTTGGGAAGGATTGGAAGTATGGCCTTTTTAAGGGAAGTGTCCATTGGGGTGGGCTCTGAGGTTTTAGAAGACTAATTCTATTCCCAATTACCCCTCTGGGATAGGGTACTGTTTAGCACCATGTCTGTCTGCCTACTGCCAGGACGCTCATGGAGTCTAATCCCCTGACCCAGAACCCATGTTAAATGCTTTCTTTTATAGGTTGCCTTGGCCATAGTGTTCTAACATAGCAATAGCAAAATAACTAAGACGCCCACCAAGACTCCACTTATCCTGCACTTAACTGGAAACATTAACTGTCCTGGGTGAAATGTGTCTGTTAATTCTCATTTTGAATTGAGTAAGCCTTGCCAAGCTTTTTACTGGAACTTTTGCAGAGAAATCTGAACCTACAGAAGGAAAAAATTTCCCATTTACCTACATGTTTACTTATTTTTACTGACCTATATTCACTGTTTAGTGATGGACTTCATAGACATTTTCATTGAAGTATCATACACTTTGGCTATTTTTACCTCACCCTCCCTTTACTCCCATTCAACCCCCGGGGCAGTTTCACTTCTTTCTTGTCCGTAAGCCTGTACCAGTTTTCATTGTTAGTTAGCATTCAAAGTCATGGGTTTCATTATGGCGTTTTATACACACGTTTTTTTGGCTGATCACCACCACCCCCACACACGTCTCTCCTCCTGTCCTGAGCGCTCATTTGTACCTGTAATTGTACCCATAAGCCTCAGTAGTCCCCTTGTCCCCTATCATGTCACACCACCTGTTGTTCATGCACCATAGTTTCTCACCCTTGCTTACACAACCCGGTGAACACAGCTCCCACCTTACCTTAAACAGGAGCTCGCTGGTGTTCTTTGCACTGTAGAACAGTTTTATTCTTCCTAGCTCATAGCCACTTCCTTTGTCTGCTTGGTCTCGGTGGAGATCTGCTGAGTGGCGCAGGACGGAAAGCAGGGGGTTAATCCCGACCCCTCCAGCAATCAACACGAGGTTTCGAGGGGCGTCTGTGGGCTGAGGGTCAAAGAAGAACTCTCCACCCACTCTGAGGGCCACTTCAGAGCCAAGTGTGCACTGAAGCAAGAAAGAAAAGATCCTTTGGTCCCGTGCAGCCCAAGTCTCAGACCACGGCTCCTACTTCAGTGACGTCACCAAGGTGACCTTCTGTCTGCCTTTCAGTATTTAGGATCATCTGCACAACTTGTTTCCAGTTCTCCCAGAGCCTTGGGACTTGATTCTACTTGTCCAGTATGTAGGCTGCTCCCTATCCCAACTTTGTGATCCACACGACAGCCATTCTGGGATTAAGAAAGGAGGACTTGCTTCAGAGATTTTGCCACTAATTTCACAGGTGAGCTGAGCTGCCAAAAATGGCAATGGACACAGGCAGGGCAAACTCTGGGGCATGCATCCCTTCAGAGTCATGTTCCATGTTCTGACCTAGGCTGAGAAAGGCAGGATGGGACTAGTGTGCCATCGAGCTGTGAAGTGGGTTCCTTCCTGTACTGGACTGGCAGTGTGGTACAGTTTGCTTCTCTAGCAGCCAGATAAGCAGGAGGAGGCTGTGCACGCAGGCTGTCTGACACTGGCCTGCCCATGTAATGTGCCTGTATTTGGTGAGGTCACTAATACCACAGCTGTCTCCAGAGGAAAATGCGCTGCTTCCCAGTGGGCCAATACTGACTCTGATGGGGTGTACTAACTGATGGCTAGATCTGCAGGAATTGTGTGTGCTACTCTTCACTGGTAGTTTGGAATCAGCTGCTGTGCTCTGTGCAGAACACAGAAATTTGCACATGATATAAATGAGGGCCTTTTTAAAATTCAGAGTGCTAGATTACCTGCATGACATTGCTGTAATAATGCACAGGACAGTCAGGGAGACTCTGAGTGACCCACAGGCTATTGTAGGCAAAAGCTGGTTTGTAGTAACCTGAGAGCTGGGCTGTGGGGAGGGCAGGGCTGATGGAAGGACACACAGAAGCTGACCTGCTCAGTGCATGGCGGCCAGGAAGCACAAAAAGAAGGCTTTCTCCTTCCCTTCCTTTTTATTTTATCTGCCCCCACCCCCTAGCCCAAGGGATGGTGCTGCCCACCCACATTCAGGGAGTGTATTCCACCCTTGGTTAATCCTCTCTGGAAATGGCCTCACAGAACACATACAGAGGTGAGCCTTGCTAACTAATCTTGTACTCTCTTCTCCATCAGACCCACAATCAAGATGAATCTGAAAATGACTCCTCTTGCAAATAAACTCCGAGACAGCTGTACACAAATCTAAGCTCACATGAATTTTCTAGAATGTGACAAGTGTGCACACTATAGTTGGCTGTGTTCACTTTTCTGGAAGACCACATTCTGGGTGGTGACATGAGTGTCTTTCTGTCAACCACACAGCAAGGTAACACCAGCTGCATCTGCAGGCCACATATCGGTGTAACTGTTTTTAGTAAAAGTCCTGTGACTGCTTCACACTATCTGGTGGTGGTTTCCATATGCCCAAACTTGAGTGCAGAAAATACATATTCTTCGACTATGGGTCCCTTTCCTTCCTTTATTCCTCCTTTGTGTTTTGACTAGAGAATTTGAGTTTTGGGTGCTTTTCCATTCCAGTGTTTTTCCTTGGAGGGCATGGGATTCCTGCCAGCATTGGATTCTGTATGAAAAGATTTCAGATTACTGTGGCTCTTAAAGAAGACACAGTGCTGGGTATGTCTGCCTCCCTCTAAAACCAGGATCCAGGAATACAGCCATTTACACGGAAAGCACAGCTTTGCCTCATTGCAAACTCCTGGCACAAATCAACAGAATTTAGAAGTAGTAACATATGGCATGCTTTTGGAGGGTCAAAGCCTCGGCATTCGGTAAATGACACCTTGCATACCAAGTGAGTAGTAGAAGCTTCTGGACAGGGATTTAATGAAAGGTCCTACAACTTAAGGTGACCAAACTCAGAGAAAAACCCAAGAGCAAAATGCTTTGAATCATGAAATGAGTCTCCTATTTGTAAAGAGCAGTTAAGTGAATGGAAATCCTTTCTCAAGAGGAAAAAAACATCTAACTTTGACTATGTAGGAGAGTGTTACATGACAGTAAGCGGACTTTCATTCTGACAGAAAATGTGGGCAGCAAGGGGGCACTGGGTCAGAAGAAGTGAACTCTAGGCAGGGCTGCACGGTGACTTCAGTGCTTAAAAATGCTCAGTTCTCTCAAGCCCCAAGAGTAGAGAACCTAAATCCTGGAGGCTCTGCCCTTGCTGCAGCCCTACTCATCTGCATATACCTCTCTCTTCTGTCAGGGGAAGCCGGGAGCAAATGAAACCGACTTCAAGCACCTTAGCCCATGTCAACCGAGCAGCCCTGCTGCCACCAGACCCATTTCCAGTGTCCAGCTCCACCAGAGTAGCTCAGGAGGAAAGGAGCCTCTGAAAATGACTCCAGGACAACACTCACGTCATCATGGCTGGTGGCAACAGGGCCCTATATGCAGCCAACCACGTCCAGCCACACTGCATTCCTTGGTGGTTGATGAAGGTCAACATCTTTTCATTTCCTGTTATCCCAGCCATAGGTTTTCTTTAATTCTGTTACCAGTCTCTTGCAGAGAAGTTTAATCTTGGCTAACTTAGATATATCTTATTTTTCCTTTATAGTTCTTCCTCTTGGTGCCATGTATAACTCTCTCTATTTTCAAGTTTCAAGTATTTCCCTATTCCTGCAGGTCCAGGATTCACGTGAACTAAGCAAGCTGAACACACATTTAACAGAGGCAGTTGGAGATGCTCAGATCTCCAACTTTAAAGTTGAGGGGTTGGAGAGATGCTTGGCAAGTCAGAGCCTTTACAGAGGCCTCAGGTTCGGTTCCCAGCATCCACATGGTGATCCACAACTATGGTGATGGAAACAGACACGCACAAACATGCAAGTGAAATACTCATACCCATAAAATTAAATAAATCTAAAGAATTTTTTTTTTTTTTTTAAAGTAGTTGCTTACCTTCTTGTGAACCCAGACAGCAGGAGGGTGGTCTGTATATTTCACTGCCAATTCTATTATTCTCTCTTGTTCTAGCAGTTGGGGACTGGAACAGATTGAAAACCCACCAACGACCGAGACTCCTGGGATAAAGAAATCAACCCTACAAGGACAGACAAATAAATCATCACTGTTGCAGTAACTAAGAAAACTGTCACTGGCAGACAAAAGAAACATGCCGTAAGATTTTAGTTAGACGAAGGAACTATAAACTACTAACTTAACAAAAGAAGGGACAATATAACCAATCTTACAAAATAAAAAGAACTCCAGGAATTTTCCAAAGAACTGCCATGCTAAAACTTACTTAATTTAGATGAATCTCATATATTACTAAAAAGACATCAACTATCAAAAGTGGCACAAGAAATAGAAAAACCTGATCAGGATCAGGTCTACATAAACTCTAAGGACTGAATTAACAAAACTTCACAGAGAAGAATTCTGGTTCAGACAGCATGACTGGTGAGCAGCATCGCACTCCAAACAAGACACTGGAACTTACTCTAATGAAGCAGATATTATCCTGATACTCAAAGACACTGAAAGGAAACCACACCAGCGGTTCTCAACCTCCCTAATGCTGTGACCCTTTAATTCTGTTCCTCATGTCATGGTGACCTCAAACGTAAAATTATTCCATTGCTACTTCATAAATGTAATTTTGTTACGGTTATAAATCATAAATATCTGTGTTTTCCAATGTTCTTAGGTGACCTCTGTTAAAGGGTCATTTGACTCCAAATGGGCTTGTGACCCACAGGTTGAGAACCACTGCTACAGAACACTATCCATTTAAAGAAAAGAAAAATTCCAAGAATACAAAGTTGGCTTAACATCTGTCCTCATCAACTTGAGTGCTAGGTTCAATGAGAGACTCTTCTCAAAAAGATAAGGTAGCCACTTGTGGTATGCACACCTTTAATTGATGCACTAGGCCAAGAGTATCTCTGAGAGGAGGCCAAGGCCCTCTATTAGAACAAAGACTCGAGTGTAGAAATGCACAGGTGCCCAGCAACCAACCATAACCAGAGCAGATCAGGTGACTGCAATGTGTTTTCTAGTGAACCCGTCTGCGACACAACTGTCAAGCTTTGTTTGAAAGTGGACTACTCATGGTAGGTTTCATACATGACAGAGGAGGATATGGATTACAACCAAGAAAGGAATCAAGTTGTCCATGCCCAAACAGAAATGACCCAGAATTCCTCTCTTAGTGAGAGATAGCTAGCCAGGAAATATCATGCCTTTCATCTGATGGAAAAAGGGAAATGCCACTCACCATTGGCCAGCTTTAAAGGAAAAATCTTTATCGGCGACAAGCAAACGGATGCTCTTCACTGTCGGAGACTCATGGGCAATATCACACACCTTAGCGGCAGCTAGGACCTGCGGCAAAGAGATTTGGGGCTAGACACATTCGGCTTTGGAAAACTGCCCAACAAGGCAAAGCACACACCACACCGCTTTGCTCTGCCCTCCCTCCTTCAGGCAGGTAAACAGAATGAACTTTCTGAGACTTCCTACAGCACTATTTTATTCTGAATATGAAAAGCAACCTTTACAGGGACTGTGTAACCAGTATCCATCCAGGTGTTGGGCTAGGCACCCCAGAGAGCTCTGTGGGTGGCATCTAAGGTCCCCTTCTTTAGTAGGCCACGTGAGGCCATGGTTGCTTCTGAGTCAGAAGTTCACAGCACAGCAACAGCAGATGTTCACAGAAAACAGCAAGTGCTTTTTAAAGAGAACAGAGACAGAAACCTGGGTTTGTATTCATTGCTTCCTTCCTGTCTTTTGTTTTGTGAGTCAGGGCCTCACTTTGTAGCCCTGGCTGGCCTGGGACTAAGTATATCAGATTGGCCTTCAACTCACCTGTCCTGCCTCTACAGTGCTACGATTAAGGTATGTATCATCATGGCACCATGCTTGTACACTTAAAGTTTTTTTTTTTTTCTAATTTATATTTTCTCAAAACATAAGCAGTTCATGACCTTGAAGCAACCTGCCGGGAGTTTTGGGAAACACCACTCTCAATGATGCATTTGCTTTCTGATCACTTCCAAACTGGGTGACTTGGGAACCAGTCAGTGAGGGTAATCTGTGCCTTAGCACCCATCAAATGTACAATCGTCTGCACTGCCTTTACTCCACCTCTGCTCCTCACTTCTCTCCCTCTAAATCTGGGACACTGTCCTAGGGTCAAAGAGAAATGGCTCCCCTCAAATTCCTTCTGCTCAACTCTACCTGTGGCAGTGGGCAGGAGCTGATCACATGTGGTCCCTTCAATGGAGGGCCCCAACCAGCCCAGCAGCACTGGAAACTTCCCACCCTGAGGTTGGCCTTTCCTTCAAGAGGACTTCCAGGTCCCACTACTTCTCAAAGGGAGATCACTTTTAACAATCCACTAGAAAAGTCTCACTACCTCAAAAAGAGCTCATCCTTTGTCCTCTGCAGTGAAATCCCTTGCCTGTTTCTCTGCATTGTTGCTAATCTCTTCTTCCTCCTGTTTTGGAGAACAAGAGGGTGATTTTCCATGACAGCCCCAATGCTAGCACCTTTAAGGGAAAAAAAAAAAAAAAAAAGACAGCTGGCCTGGAACTTGCTGTCTATCTACCTTAGCACTACGACTACAGATGTGTGTCACCAGGCAACACCCTTTCTACCTACGCTCTTGATCCTTACCCAATCGATGATCTATACTGCTCCATCAGCAGCTACAAACCAGTCCTTTGTTCATACTCAGTCCTTTCTCAATACCATCTTGTTTCATCAACATGGTATAGGATGCCACTGGCTTTATTGTGGGCAGCTCAGAAACAAACTATGGAAATAAGCAGAACAAGCTGCTAACAGAATGGACTCCATAGTGAGACAGCCCAGACTTTAATCTTGGCAACATCACTTACCGTCATGTAACTCTGGGCAAATGTCCTAGTCACCTTTAAGTAGGAACTGAGAACAGCAACAACTCTGCCTCATAGTGTTGTTAGGGGCACTAACGTAGATAATACAAACAAAAGCACTTCTAAGGTTGCTAGCTTATAGAACGTGTATACTGCTTGTTATATACTTTATTGCACTATTTTACATCATATATCGTGCTTTACCCATTTATTATTATATATGCAGCTGCACTGCACATCCCCAGGGAAACTGCAGACACGGATGACAAAGACCTATGTGGACTGGAACCATACATCCACCCTATCACTTATTTTATGGGTGCAAATTAGAAAGTCTTTAAAGTATTGAGAAACCTTGCCTTCCAAACCTTCCTCTACTGGGACGATGAGCTTCCTCAGTCTACAGTCTTCCTGTCCTTGCTGCTCTTATTAACCACAGGTAACCTGGTTTTTGCTCTCCCACAACTAGTCCTTCTCAGGCTGGTAGATATCCTGAAAATCACATTCAAGTGTCTAGCACCAGTGACAGACCTCCCCAGGTACACACACCACTATCCCAGCCTGAATTTGGTTAGTTCCACGCTAAGTATGGGGAGAGCTGACATGGCCCTCTTTTTTCAGGCCTCTCCTGTGCTTCTTGCTCACTATGCCTTTTCCCACTTCCTCAATGCAAGCATTCCTTGCCCGAGGCTCTCACCCTCTTTTTTCTGCTCCTCACAGGCTTACAATTATACTCCCTGTGGGTAAGGACAGCCAATGCCTAACTAAGGAACTGTTCTTCCAGTACTTATTAGGAGCTGAGTTCAATGTTTTAAGTATATTAATTCATTCCACTGATATCAATAATATCTGGAGAGAATATTGTTATCCTTCTCCTTGCTTGTTACACACACACACACACACACACACACACACACAGTCACTGTATTAGTTCAAAACCACTGTCTAAGAACTGTTGAACTAGTATTCAAACCCAGGTCACCTTAGCACTTAATCATCTGACAGCACTGTCACCAGTTGTATGAAGTCTCTTGCATGTAAAAGAGTCCATACCAGCTTGCCCAATTCCGGGCATCTGAGCATGGTGTCTAGAACCAGCTTCTTTTCACTACTGAGATTTCACTTCCGGAGTTGTGCACGTATACCATTCGGAAAGTGAGACAAGGAACTAGTCCAGTTCTGCTACAGCTTAGCACGAGGATCTGTTCATTCCATGTCCAAGCTCAAAACCCTGCTTTATGGCTGGGAGGACCCACTGGAAGGGACTGGGGTGATCCCCGATGCTAACACTGTTGAGGTGCTGGCCCCAGAAACCATCTAGTCTCTCCTGTCCCTCCCACCTCCTCCCACTTCTCATTCTGTTTGGGAAAATAAAAGTTAGAAATAAAAAGGGAGAAGTGAAAATGAAGAATTTTCTTCCTCTACATAGCAATGTTATTATAATTATAACCTTGTAATTTTCTGACTCCTGGGATTAGATGCTATTTCTTTCTTTTTTTTAAGATTTATTTATTCATGTATTTTACATATTTGAGTGCTCTGTCTTCATGCACACTACAAGAAGGAATCTGATCCCATTACAGATGGTTGTGAGCCAACACGTGGTTGCTGGAATCAGGACCTCTGAAAGGGAAGTCAAGTGCTCTTAACCACTGAGCCATCTCTCCAGCCCCCCAGATGCTGTGCTTTCAATTGTGCCAGCAGAGCTGACATTAATCTTCCTTTGTTCTAAGCTAGGGTCAGAGGAACTGTCCCCAAAGTCCCACTACTTCTATCCTATAAGATCCTGAAACGGTGACTCTAATTCACATACTGGAACTGTTACCTACATGCCAAACCTCAGTGCTTTGGCGACTCATGTTTGATTGGGCACAGCAAGCCTGATTTGCTTACATCCTTCCATGGCTGTGTCCCTCCTCAAAGATGCTGCTTAGTGATGAAATTGCTTACTACCTGAATCTTTGAACAAAGTTTGCCAACATCAGCTCTAAATTATCTACCTGCCTCCACATACCACAGAAAGAATACATACAAGTTTGTGTTAGAAACATTTTTCCTTCTTTACAACCAGTGGGATTTCACATTCATGAAGAAATCATTAACAAGCTTCATATTTACAAAATTAGCACTTTGTTTTGTGTATTAAAAATACTTGCAGACCTATCAGTGGGGAAAGTATCATTTCCTATATGCCTAAAACTTACTCTGCTGAACTAGTTTTCCACCTCAAAAAGACAGCAATCAGCATAGAATGAACAACCATCACCTTCAGCCCCAAACAATTCTCTAAAGGAGAACTATGTTCTCAAAGTAGGGCCCAACATACCTTTATGTTACAGTGTCTCCTGGTACTAAAAAATAAACCATGGAGACAATACTGTTTCTGATCACAGTTGTAGAAGTGCATAAAAATGTTTTTTTCTTCGCTTACAGAGACTTACAACACTAAATACAGCTGAATATGTGTGAAACAACTCAAAAGAAAAGGCAATTATCCACTGGGTGTTTTAAAATGGAAGCAGGGCGAGGACCCCCCAGTTCCCAGTCCTCAGCGCCCTTCAGCTGGCAGCTTAGCTGTCTATAGCCTGAGTATGATTGACAGTGCAGGGAAAGGGCAGGAAGCTTGTCAACTTTCATGTCTCAGCTGCCAGTGCTGCTCTGATGAGCTAGGAGGTGTTTCTAAAGCAGGATGAACAAGGACTGTGAGGCATGATGTCAAAAAAGAAAGAAGGGTAAGCCATTCATAAGGTGCAGGCTCTACAAGTTCCAAGTTCCCTCTCCTGCAGCCCTCAGAGTACCCGTGAGGAGTTCCCTCTCCTACAGCCCTCAGCGTACCCGTGAGGAGTTCCCTCTCCTACAGCCGTCAGCGTACTCGTGAGGAGTTCCCTCTCCTACAGCCATCAGCCGTCAGCGTACCCGTGAGGAGTTCCCTCTCCTACAGCCCTCAGAGTACCCGTGAGGAGTTCCCTCTCCTACAGCCCTCAGAGTACCCGTGAGGAGTTCCCTCTCCTACAGCCATCAGAGTACCCGTGAGGAGTTCCCTCTCCTACAGCCGTCAGAGTACCCGTGAGGAGTTCCCTCTCCTACAGCCGTCAGCGTACCCGTGAGGAGTTCCCTCTCCTACAGCCCTCAGCGTACCCGTGAGGAGTTCCCTCTCCTACAGCCCTCAGTGTACCCTTGAGGAGGGTACTACCTAGTCACAGCTGTGCTCCCTGGCTAAACAGCCCATTCACACCAAAATTAGTGGGAAACCTTAATACTGAACAGTATTAATATTGAAAGCAGCTGAACGACTGCTTTCAAGTTAGTTTTCATATCCTCTGCTTAGGAAATTCCAGAACAGGAAGATAAAATCTCCCTGACTGTCCCCCATGCCCCAAGGATACAGACCTCCTGTCGGAGGACACTTGCAGTTCTCTCCAAGTGATCAGTTTTTCTTTTGGATTTCATTATGCTTTTTAAAAGAAGGTAAAATTAGATTAGTAAGCATTATCTTCATAAAATAATAAAACCACCTTCCCCTGCCAAAAACCGAAACCAAAACCAAAAACCATGGCTATCAAAAGTACAATTAATTGCAGATTCTACAAAACACTGAAAGTCTGCCAGTGCTAAGTCACACACCCAACCGAGTTTCTGATCTGACCGCATGAAGTGAGGTTGCTGCCTCTCTTGAAGGACCTCCCAAACCATCAACACATCAAGAATCAACCCAAATGTCAGCAAAGGCTGACGCCTCACCTGGTTAGGGTAAGGTGACGCAAGGTGCTAGCTGTCAATCTCCACAAAGCAGGCAGAGTGCAGATGGCTCCCACAGTACCTCGAGATGACCCAGGAATAAAGACAGCATGGGCCATGGTGCTCCTGGACAAATGTAACTGAAATTTAAAATCATTTTCAGAGAAAGCAGAGAAAAGCCAGACTATGTTAGGGGCAGGTGCAAAAGACTGGGGTGGGGGGTGGTGGGGATGGGGTGGGTTGAGAGATGGTTCAGTGGTTAAGAGCATTGGCTATTCCTCCAGAGGACCTGAGTTCAATTCCTGGTGCCCATATGGTAAGTCAAACCATCTGTAACTCCAGTTCAAGGGGATCTGATGCCCTTTTCTGACCTTTGCAAGTACCAACACATGGTACACAGACATACACACAGGCAAAAAACGCATTCACATAAAATAAAACAACTACCCATATAGTAAAAGGAAGAAAATCAATTCCCACAAATTGTCCTTTGATTTCTGTGTGTACCCCAGCGGCCCCCCGTAAATACTGAAAGAAAACAATGAAAATTTTAATTAAAATTGCTTAAGGATTTGGGCTGAGTGTGTTAGCACATGCCTTTAGTCCTAGCACTCTGTGAGTTTGAGGCCAGCTGGATCTATACATTGAGTTCCAGGACAGCCAGGGTTACATAGACCCTGTTTAAAAACAAAACAAAACAAAGAGCATGTATTACTCTTCTAGAAAACCCAGCAACTACATCATGTGGCTCACATCTACCTGTCACTCTAGGGATCCAACTCCTCTGGCTTCCACACTCATGCATACATAAACACACACACACACACACACACACACAGCTCCCGCATAATTAAAAACAAAAATAAGTCTCTTTAAAATTTGTATTTATAAAAGCTTAAGGTTCATAAATATTTAAAACAAATAGATAACACTATTTATAACAGACCGAACTAGCACCTATTCAAAAGACCACAAATAACAGTAAATGAAGTGTGACACTTTCATGCACTATACATAATATCAGTAACAATGAATACATTTCACTTACATGCAGTAATATTCAATTAGACTGCAGGTATCAAATGGCATGAAAGCAGCTAGACTGCAAAGAGCACATATTCTTTGGTATCAACTATACAATGTTCCAAGATAGAGAAAAATAACCTACAATGTTAGAAGTCAGTCTTGGAAAGTGCCTGTTTACAATGAGGTTTCTTTATATGGATGCTGAGTGCCTCAGTAGGTCCATTTGTAAAATCTTCAAGCAGTCTTTGTAGCTGGATACTTTCTATCTGTATGTTATACTTCAATAAAAACAAATCAGAAAGATTCTCAACACTTTACTTTTGTTCTCTTTTTGGTTTTCTGAAACAACTTTACTAAGTTCCCCAGGCTCATCTTCAACTCACTGTGTTCCCTGATCTGGCCTCAAACTTAAGGCTCCTCCTGCCTTGTACTGGGATTATAAGCATGTGGCATCACCCCCAACATTACTTTATGATTTAAAATCACAAGACCATTAGGTAGAGCACCGATTAGGAGTCAGGTCATTTACTGTTTGGCTCTGATAGCACTTTCTTGTACATTTAAAAAATACTTCTTAGCCTAAAACATCCACATTTCCCATGCTTTATTACCACATCGGTGGGAATAAAACATGTCTTTCCCAAGCATTTTCAAAGGTACTATATACCTTTGTTAGGAGAATATTCAAGCCAACAGTGAAGGTTTTGTAGTTCTCATTCAGTGAAAACTATTAAGGGCCAAGTATGAAGCAGGCACTTGCCTAAGCAGTGCAGGTTTGAAGAAAGCTTCAGAGAGCCTAGGTTCTAATAAGTAGAGATAAAACTCAATAAATTAATGCACCAGGTGGTGACATAAATCAGAATTTCTCAAAAGCCACAGTCCCCAAATAGTCTTCAGATAGATGGATTTCTTCTTGTCCCAGTTCAGCAGAGTTAAGAATTAACATGCTATTGGCTATTTCCCCCAGTAACTAGAAGAGGTGTAAAGCCTCTGCTACCTCATGAAAGAAGGCTAAACCAAAAACAGGGTGTTAGTGACTGAAACCAAGCAAGCAGAACTTACTTTAGAAACCCATGGGATTCTGGCAGTCCTCAGCTGGCTGATACAGTATTTTGGTCCCAGTACTATACAAAGACCTCTGGATTCACAACAGCTGGAACGCAGGGAAGTTTTCCATATACTGAAATTCCCACAAAGTTCTTATGATGGCAGAGACAATGAACTGGTTAAGTACAAAGAAAACAGAAAAGGCCCCATCAAGTCTAACCTGCAAAAGAAAGGCTCATTGAGAGTTAAAAATGTGAACCCCAGTGGTAGAGAGTTTATTTGGCACACACACACACAGGCCTGGGTTTGAGCCTCAGTACCAGACTGAAGGGAGAACCCTCATTACAATCAGAGGCCCCCATGCTCAGTTACTCCCTGCCATTAGCCCTTCCCCTTATGTGGACGCTTCTTTCTATCCCTCATCTGCTGCTTCTTGATCTTCCATGACCTGAGTCAGCTCCTGCAACTTAGGTTACCCATCCTATGAAACACCCTCCACGTTGCTGCATCTGTCCTTCCTGTCTGGCCTCAGGTAGTTCCCCTTATGGTTCTGCCCAGTTGAGCTGGTGCTGTGCTGAAGAAAGTAAAATCACAGTCAATAGGGAGCAAGACAGTTATATGACACTGAGGGCCAAATTCCCTATTATGAAGTTTACCCTCCAGTGAACAGTGGACATTGTTCCACTTAGTATTTTAGACAACAACTACTAAAACAAAGGTTTTTACAATACAGTACACCTTTAGTGGCTATGCTGTTTCTGTTTAAAACAGTCTACTTCTCTACTCAGTTGGAAAACAAGGAAGCTAATTCTCTCTCTCTTGATTTTTTGAGACAGGGTTTCTCTGTGTAACAGTCCTAGCTAGCTGTCCTGGAACTAGCTCTGTAGACCAGGCTGCTCTGGAACTCACAGAGATCTGACTGCCTCTGCAGTGTTGGGATTACAGGCCTGTGCCACCACCACCCAGCCTAAGAAAGCTAATTTTTAAAAGCCGTTCTTTTTCAAAGACTGAATTTTGTTAACAGTACCATGACCTTGACTCACTGGCAAATAAAGGCATTTTTGTAAAGTTGTGTTCAATTTGCCTTCCAAGTTTTATTCCAGTCCTTATATTAACTCTGTGTGTGTGTGTGTGTGTGTGTGTGTGTGTGTGTGTGTGTGTGTGTGTGTGTGAGAGAGAGAGAGAGAGAGAGAGAGAGAGAGGACTTACTTACAGCTTGGTAAGCTGGGTAAAGGTACCTGCTGCCAAGCCTGAGGCTCAGCAAGAGATGAGTCCTGACTATAATTAAAGGGATGATTACAGGGATGAGTATGGCAGAAGGACTGTGTGTGTGTGTGTGTTGGAGGAAGTGTATCACTGTGGGGGCAGACTTAGAGGTCTTACATGCTCAAGCTATACCCAGTGTGTCTCAGTCTCCTTCTGCTGTCTCTAGATCAAGATGTAGAACTCTCAGCTCTTTTTCCAGCACCATGTCTGCCTGCATGCCACCATGCTTCTTGCCATGATGATAATAGGTTAAACATCTGAACTGTAAGCCTGCCCTGATGAAATGTTTTCTTTTATAAGTGTTGCCGTGGTCATGATGTCTCTTTACAGTAAAAACAAAACAAAAAACCCTAACTAAGATACTCCTGTAGCTTTTAAGATGGCCCAGAAAACTGTTTTTGATGGGTCAGAATTGCTTTCTAAAAGATCAGGACTTGAGGTGTAGCTAAGCCAGTAGAGCATGTACCTAGCATGCATAAGACTTATGATATGAGTCTCAGTATCATTAAAAAGAAATGTTTTAAAATTTTATTTCATTACTTAAATCTTTTTCCATTTTATTATTTTATGTTATTCGTGTTTGCCTATATGTCTGTCTGTGAACCATGTGCTTATGGCAGTCAGAAGAGGAGGTTGGATCCCTGGAACTGGAGTTACAGACAGCTGTGAGCCTCCGTGCAGATACTGGGAATCAAACCCAGGTCCTCTAGCAGAGCAAGTGCTATTAATCACTGTGTCAATTGCCTGACCCCATCTTATTATTATCACTGTGTTTATGTGTATGGGCGTTTCCCCTGCATTTACATCTATCTGTGCACCATTCTTGGTGCTCTCAGAGGACAGAAAATGGTGTTGGATGCTCTGGAACTGGAGTTATGGGCAGCTATAAACTGCAATGTAGGTGCTGGGAATTTAACCTGGGTTCTCAGGAAGAGCAGCCAGTGATCTTAACTGATGAGCCATCTCTCCAGCCTTTGTTTGCTTTTTTAAATAAACGATCTAACAATTTATCGATAGCATGAGTCAAATACGGATGGGTCCAGTTGTGTGTGTTCTATGTGTGTGCAGGTGTGAGTTCAAGGCAGAGCTCTCTACTTTATGTTTTGACAGTCTCTCCCTGAACCTAGAGTTCACTGGGTGGTTGGCTGCTGTGCTCCAGGGATCCACCTGTCTCTGTGTCCATGCTCTTGCTCCCATCAGTGTTGGAGCTACAGATCCATCTACTTTATCCCTACCCACAACTGCATCCATTTCTGCATATTTAAGAATGGCTAGAAAGGACTAAAGATTGTTTCCAACCGTGATTATCTGAACCAAAACTAGACACTGGAAAATCAGTTTACTTCCTGTGTCCTAGAGGCTACTTGGGAAATATTTGTATTTATAAAGCTAGAAGACTTTCATAGGATTCCTCCTTTGCCCAGGCAGGCCACAGTTAACCATCAACAGACTACAAGATGTGTAGATCTCCAATTATGCAAAAAGGAAAGTGAAATGTTTGAAACAACCTTTCATACACTCTTTTAATAATATAACTTCTGGACTTTAACTCCCAAAGACTTCTCTGCCTTTATATTTTCACACTTTAAAAGGGCTTCAAAATGTAGTATCGTCTCAATGTGCACAAAATTGGAAACTTATGCAAACTGTACGTCCTTAACCCTTAAGTATAAGTTACAGAAATATAAAATACATGGTTGTTGAACTATTAAATTCCCGCACAGAAGAATGTTAGACTTCAAAGGATACTGTCACAGAAAGGAAGTTAGAACCAAAGAATGTAAATTTCCAACTCCCAGAGCCATCGGACTGATTCAGGATCCTGTTCTGCCACAGTGGTTTTCACTACACTGCACTCCTCCAGTAAGATCTGAGTAACTGCCTAGTAATACAGCGATGCTCCAAAGTCCCTGGTTGTAACCAATACAGACCCAGCACTGCTTTCAGGACAAAGCGCTTTTCATTTGCGTTTCGATTCTAGGTTCAAGGAAGAGACTGAATGCTGACAATACCATTAGAAATATCATTCCTTTTACCAAGAACTAAAGTTCACATAAATAATTTATTCCTGGGCTTTGGAGAAAGCCAGGCCCTTCATTATGACTAGGTATGTAATCTTGGGCAAGATGCCCAGTCTCCGAATCTGAGTAAGAGATAAATAAAATGGAGTTTTGAACCCCAGGATCAAGAGAATTAAATTTAGTGCACAGGTGGCCCACTAAAACCCCTAGTAATTAAAAGTGAAGTTATTACTGCTATTGCACCAATCACTGTAGTGAATACTGCCGACAAGGCTAGAACTTGTCCCTGTCTTACAGATCGTGGCCCCTCTGCAACGCAGCTCAGAGAATCCGAAGGTGGCTGGGGTGAGACAGGCAGCGATGTACCTGCAGGCAGGAACTTTGTCACTCTGAGTTCAAGGTCGCCTGAAAAGCAATTCCAGGAGCGCCGTGGGTCGACCGCCGCGGAGGGCTGGAGAGGACGCTGCGTGGCTACCTCAGCCTCAAAGACCAGGCGCCCCCCTCAGATAAGGGCCGTGGCCACCAGCAAACTCTTTTAAAGTTTCTCTGAAGTCAGCGATGAAGAACGAGGCACCACCGGCAAAGGAAAGCACAGCCGAGGCCCAAACTCCCCGGGCCCCGGAGTGACGTAGCAGCCTGGGGGAGAGAGCCCTCATACTATTGGTCACTGACGCCAAGTGGGCGGCACCGGAAGCGCCACCTTTCCCGTAGTAGCTCAGCTATCTCCATGGAGACCGCGACCCGGTCACCCATTTGGCCGCCCCGGTCGGAGTTACGTCATCGCCTATGCGCCCTCCCGGAAGTGATCGTCCCTGTTCCGTGTTCCCGCGTGGGCCAGGAAGCGCAGGCCTTCCCTGCACCGGCCGAGTTAGGCAAACTGATGCTGTGTCGACCCGGTGACCATGGCGGTGTTTCACGACGAGGTGGAGATCGAGGACTTTCAGTATGACGAGGACTCGGAGACATACTTCTACCCCTGCCCCTGTGGTGATAACTTCTCCATCACCAAGGTATTCCTAGGGCCCGCCGGCGACTCTTGAGCTTGCGCAGTTTCGCTTCCGGTGCCCCTGGCCAGGCTCGGTCCTCCTCGTGTTCGTTAAGTCCCCCGCCCCTAAAGCACCAGTAACAAGCTGTCAGGGGTACAGGGCCCTTCTTAGCTCCGCCCATGAACTATCTTTCTGGGAACTTTGAAGAAGGGAACTGTTTTGTACCTCAGGGATTTGGAGGAGATCGAACCAACCTAATCTCTCTGGTTGTTTTCCTAGGTGACTCTTGGAGGGAAAGTTCTTTGTGCTGTTATTACCCAGCCCAATACTTGCACATAGACGTGGGAGAGGTTTGTGGGAAGATGACGAAAGGGAGGCTATGCTGACCATACGCTGTTTGATTTTTGTTATAGGAAGATTTGGAGAACGGAGAAGATGTGGCAACGTGTCCTAGCTGCTCTCTCATTATAAAAGTGATTTATGACAAAGTAAGGGATACATTAAAGGGAGTGGGTAGTGTGAGGTAATGACAAAGAGCCAAAGCAGCCTGTCTCGTATAAAAGTTCAAAAGTGTTGTGGTTTGGGGTTTTTTTTTTTTGGGGGGGGGGCGTTAGTTGTCTTTTTTTTTTTTTTTTTTTTTTTTTTTTTGAGACAGGGTCTTTACTTAAGACAGGGTGCCTTTGAACTCAGAGATCTGCCTGTCTTTGCATGTCCGGCCTAGAAGAGTATTTCTTAACCTTGTGCTAGATCAAGGGCTATTTTTAAAAAGCTTTAAAAATTGTTAGGGAGGGTTGGGCAATGGTGGTGCACACCTTTAATCCCAGTGCCCTGGAGGCAGAGGCATTTGGATCTTTGTGACTTCAAGGCCAGCCTGGTCTACATAGCAAGTTTCAGGACAACCAGGGCTGTTACACAGAGAAACCCTGTCTGGAAAAACCAAAAAAGTAAAAATTTTTTTAAAAAAGTCAATAAGTAGCTGTGTAATAATATTGTTCAAGTTTAAATTATATAAGTTGTGTTCACCTTTGAAACTGCAACAAATTAATGAAAGTGTAATGTAATGAATTAATCAGGAATGAAAATATGATCATTTTAATTAATGTTTTTCTTTTGACATTTAGTTAAGTTTGTTCAGCACTCCAGTACATTTAGAAAAGACTATTTATTGCTTGCCGGGTTTATGAATATAATCTACATTATTTTGTTGGAGATATAATTCCTAGTTTCAATTCTACAGTTTTATGTTAAATTCATGTCCCTTTGTATCCAATAAGGATGGAACAGGGTCAATGCCCAAAGTGCAGTTAGTGCTTTGGAATCTTAAGTAAGGAGTTTAACAGTCTTAAGGTTGAACTCTAAAATGAGTGCAGGGTAAGTTGACCCAACTCCCAGAGCTTTGTGAGAGGCAGACTTCAGTTTAGACAATAATGTAGACATTTAATGATTAATTCTTGCATTAAAATGGGGCAGACTAGGGGCTGACTCCTTGGGGAATCACACTGTAGGGGAAGTGCTGTAACTTTGAGAGTTCTTACGGTAGCTGGCATAAACCAGGATAAAAACTCCAGGCATGATGACACACACATTTAATTCCAGTACTCAGGAGGCAGCGGCAGGCGGATCTCTGAGTTTGAGGTTAGCCTGGTCTATAAAGCAAGCTGTCTGGAAAAACAAAAACAGCAACAATGAAATCGAGACTGAACCTCATTTTCAAAGTAGTTACTATTATAGGTCTGTGTTGGGAAACACAAAAACCTATTAGTACTCATTTAAAGAAGTTACATATTTGAATGGCCAGATATTGAATTGATGAATGCAAAAATGTAAAAGATATGGCATGTTTATTTCTGGAAAGTGGTTTCTCTCTAGCAAGATGGACATGTTTATAAGACAATGCTTATTAAATAACAAATCTGGGACAGAACTTCAACATGCACTTAATTCTAATTGTAGGGCTGACGCCAGTTCTTTGAACAAAAATTAAGTGCTATTGGGGCTGGAGAGATGGCTTAGTGGCTAAGAGCTTCTGAGAAGGACTGTGATTCCATTTTCATTGCCCACACTGGTGGCTCACAGCCACCTGTAACTCTAGCTCCAGGGAATCGGATGCTGTCTTCTTGACTCCATGGCTCCCCCACACATGTGTGGCACATGCATACATTAAGTGTCTGCAGTTGTGTCAGCTGGGATAGCAGCTGATGCCTAGTGGGTAGATCAAGGGCCCTGCTAACATCTTATACAGGTCATCCTGGACCTGTATAAGTTAGTTTTTAGTGCATAAGTCTTAGACTCTTTAATTTGTTGCCATCATTCCAATATTATAAATGGACTCCTTCTACATTTTACATCTTGTTTATTTTATTGCTAGCATATAATAATAATAACAACAACAACAATAATAATAGTAGTAGTAGTAATAATAACAATAGAAACAATGTAGCAGTGAAAAGAAAAACTAGTAGCTGAAGTTGATTTTGTAGTCAAGTGAAAACAATGTTAATGAACTTTTGTAACAGAAGCCTGGTGGTTAATAGCGTTTCTTCTTCTGTCTTAGGATCAGTTTATGTGTGGAGAAACAGTCCCCGCACCTTCAACCAACAAAGAGTTAGTTAAATGCTGAAGAAGCCCAGAGGAACCCAAATCCTGAGCATTAGGGAATGGCCTCAGGTGGATGGATTGAGTGCTAAGTTAACAAGCTCTGCATAGGACAGCCGTCTTGTGGCTTGCTTCCAGGAGGGGTATGCATCATCATCAGTTACTGAATTCATCACAAAAAAAATGAGCCTGCGAAATGTCAGACCTGGATTTCATGCTCACATGGAATTAGAAGGATTCCTAATTGCCCATCTGAATTTAAAGGGAAAGCCTTATAAACTGGTGCCTGCTCTTTCTCTCTGTTGCGTCATTTGAATATCTTAAAACTAATCATTTTCTGAAAACCACATTGTCCACTTCAGTCCTGAGGCTCTTTTTCATTTTTAAAAGATTTGCTGTTTTATTTTTAATTATGTGTATATGTGCATTTGTGTGGGGGTATGTGCATGTGCCCAGGAAGGCCAGAGGCATCACATCTGGAGCAGGAGTCCAGCAGATGTGAGCCACAGAAATGGGTGCTGGGACCCAAACTTGGGTCCTTTCAAAGCACTGCAGTTCCTAACCTCTGGGCCATCTCTCCAGCCTGCAAGGGTCTTTATTTTAAAAGATTACATTTTGATGAAGTTGCTAAGGTGATTCAGGCAAGGCTTTTCTCTGTCGTTTGCTCTGTTGGAACTTAAGGTAATCTCCTTTCCTAGGGCTGCACTCTGTGTGGCTCCTTCGCCAGCTGGTGATTGCATTGATTGATTGCCATGATTGCATGGTTCATGTTCCCAGTCGTCCTGGTTACTCTTCTTGCAGAGTTCAACTGTGGTATTGGATTGTGAGTCCACGGTATCTCTGTAGCTTCCAGTTAGTGACTAAGGAAGGAAAAACTGGAGTGAAATGGTAAAAGAAATGGCTTCTGGTACTTTGTGCATTCCTTATATTAGGATAGGCTAAAAAGAAACACAGCCAGTCAAAGTAAAACTGGCATCAGTGAGAGGCGTGAAATCTGCCAACTTGAGTACATGAGTAATTTTGCCAGGTTGGAATAAGTATTTCTGTATCTGGGCCTAAGACAGGGCTTAGGTTGAGTCTTCATCTGGCAGTAGTTATAATATATCACAGGCTGTGTCACTTATCACTGATAAGTGAAACCTCCACAACAGAGGGTGAGCTGGCAAATGTGAGCTGGCTCTAAACAGACAAGCCCATGAGGGCATACATAATAAGCCTCCACATACTGGGTGTCCATGCATTCCTGCTGAGTGATACTAACCTTGAAAAGGAGAAATTTGTGAGGCTGGACTATTAGTCTTCCTTCACTGCAATCTAAGAGTAGCAAGAAGTAGACTCATTTTGCAGAAATTTGAGAAGTTCCTTTGTAAACACTACTTTCCTGTAAATGCATAAAGTTTTGAAAGTGCAATTATAGACATATATTCACAGCATACAGAAGGACATTCCCCATCATGCACTGGTATCCAGCAGGTTGTTTGGGGTATGATTCCTGCAATTAAAAAATAGCCAGTAGATGGGTCATGGGTTAAGAGCACTTGCTGCTCTTCTAGAAGACCTGTGATCAATTCTTGGCATTCACATAGCAGCTCACAACTGTCTGTAACTCCAGTTCCTGGAGTTCTGATGCCCTTTTCTGACCCCTGTGGGCATGTATATGGTGCACAGACATAAATGTAGTCCAGACACTCATACAACTAAATATAATTCTTCTTTTTTTAAAAAAATAAAATAACTAACAAATAGTAGCCATTCATTGGAGGTTTGAATTAAAATGTGTAACTAGGTTTTTTTTTTTTTAACCAGTGAGTAATATACAGCTCTAGGTAATCATTAGGCTGAGACAAAGTAAGTTAAAAAGTTGCCAGAAGTGTGTTGTACATTATATTTCCCATTTCTTAGTATTTTTTTTTTTTTTTTTTTGTTTTTTGTTTTTTGTTTTTTGTTTTTTTGTGAGTTGTGGGGAGGTGTTTAAGCTAGAGCCTTGCACATGCCAGGCAAGTGTTCTGTTGTTCTGGGCTGCATCTCCATTCAACATGGTTTTAGTAGAACAGAAAATCTATTTGATGTCCCTCGGATCATCTTAGAAAGCAAGGCCACTGCTCAGACAGAGCAGGGGACCGGTGAGAATGGGCTACATACATAGAGAAGCAGACTGCCCTGTGCTCAGATCAACGGCTTTGGAGATTGCACTAACCAACTTTCTCTGCTGCAGTAGAATTTTCTAGCACAGAAGCCTTGATGTAGGTCTTCTGTGAACACAAAGGAGCAGGAAAGAGTCCAAGTTGAGACACCACAGGAGGGATGCCCAAGCAGACTTCCGGCCAGTCACTGTCTGAAGTAGGTGTGGTTTTTGTCTTTAAAAAAACTGAGCAAGTTTAGAAACTATAAAATACCAGCTATTAGTCCTGTATTGAGCAGAAAAAACCAAGGCCATTCAGATGTGACTGGAGTTCCAGACATTTCAAGAGCATGGCTGAGAACTGGTAAGTGGACCAGCTCCATCTCATGAACTCTGTAGTCGCCAGAACCTGTGTTTCCTCATTTGCAGTTAAGAGACAGGGTCAGATGATCTCTCAGCTGTCAGCTCTCATTTCATTTGTGGGTCCTTGTCAGTTCTAAAACCTTTCTAACCTCAAAACTACCCTGAGTCACAGCCTATGGAAGCTCCACTTTCCTTCCATAGCATCATCACACCTCAGAGTTGGAAAAGTTTGAAATCAGTTCTTCAAAGGATTCTGCATATATGTTCACAATGCATTCAGATGTAGCCAACAATTTTTATAGAACTGTATGTATTAATTCACTACAATGACTTGCATTGCCAAGCTAATAAAATGAGATAATGCAAATTCATGCTTTCACAAAGCTGTTATTCCTTCACGTTAAAAGTTGTTGGTGATGCCAACTTGTACAGCCACTTTGGAAATCAGTATGGTGGTTGGTTCCTCAGGAAAATGGGAATCAGTCTACCACGACCCTGTAATCCTCCTCTTAGGCATATACCCAAATGATCCTTATCCATGCAACAAAGACATCTGCTCAGCTATGTTCATAGCAGCATTATTTGTAATAGCAAGCCCCTCAACTGAAGAATGGATAAAGAAGATGTGGCACATTTACACATGGGGTGTAGGGGGGGAGACACAACAATGGAATCTTGGAGTTTGCAAAACCATCCTGAATGAGATAACCCAGTCACAAAAAGAGGAACATAGTATGTACTCACTCATATATGATTTTAGACATAGAGCAGAGGATCACCAGCCTATAGTTCACACAGCCAAAGAAACGAGGATATAAGGAGGAACCTAAGAGATTCAGACAAGGTAGCCCACAGAAAGGGAAAGGAACAAGATCTCCTGAGCATATTGGGAGCTGGGGGGGGGGTGTCAGGAGAAAGAGAAGGGGAGGAGGGAACAGGTAGGACCAGGAGGATTGAGTCAGGGGACAAATAGAGGAGAGCAAAAAAAGATACCATAAAAGAGGGAGCCATTATAGATTTGAAGAGAAAACTGACTCTAGAGATATGTCCAGAGATCTACAAGGATGACCCCAGCTAACAATCTGAGCAACAGTGGAGAGGCTACCTTAAATGCCCTTCCCTGATAATGAGATTGATAACTAACTTATATGCCATCTTAGAACCTTCATGTAATAGCTGTTGAAAACAGAAGCAGACACCCACATCTAAACACTGAGCCGAACTCCTGGAATCCAGTAGCAGAGAGGGAGAAGTGATGAGCAAAGGGATCAAGTCCAGGCTACAGAAACCCACAGAGACAGCTGACCTGAACAAGGGGGAGCTTATTGACCTCCAGACTGCTGGGAAACCAGCATTGGACTGACTCAGACCCCCTGAACATGGGTCTCAGTTAGAAGGCCTGGGCCCTCTGATAGTGGAACCAGGATGTGTCTCTGGTGCACAAAAGGACTTTGGACTACATTCCCATGGAGGGATACTCCCTTAGCCAGAGACACGAGGGACAGAATTTGATGATCCCTCCTGGAAGGCCTCACCCTCCCTGTGGAGTGGACGGGGAATGGGACAGGAGGGGGGTTTATGGGGCATGGGAGGGAGGGAGAGGGAACTGGGGTCAATATGTAAAATAAGAAAAAATAATAAAAACTAACTTTATAAAGATGATAGAAGCTTCTAAAGAGGAAATGAAAAATTGGAGACCTTTAAAGAGGAAATGAAAAATTCTCTTAAATGGAGGAAAAGATACATTGGGTTCGGGCAGGAGGCTTATAGTAGGTAGTTTGGCCTTTGCTAAAATACTCTGAGGATAAAAAGAAAATAAACCATCTCACACGTGAATAAAAAGTTGCTGGTGTCGTGGTTTCACATAAGATAGAACTCTTAACTTTGGGTCACTGTAAGTAGATTTCTAGTGTGGATGTTATGCTGGATGATGGCTGGGTTTTGAGGTTCTTGCCTCTTCAAGGAACTGAAATAAAGGCTCAAACATGGTAAAAGTACCAAGGAAACTCACTTTAAAGAGAAGCCTGATTAGAGAGGAGGGCACATGGGAGACATACCCAAGGGCCTTTTTTGGAGCTTCTTTTAATGGGGTCTAAGAAGAAGTTGGCTTAGGAGGGATGCAGTTTGGGTAGTTCTCTGTTTTGACTGACAGACTAACTTATATAACCACTTCTATACTATGCTTGTTCCCAAAATGCATCAGGTTTTAATAGTATGTACATTGAATGCGCTATACTCATAAGACGGTGAAATAGAGGATCATCCCTGAAAGCTTACTTAGAGGACAGTTGTTTTATTATGCACCCAAATGCAAGGTTGGTCTTGTGGCAGAGTAGAGACCAAAAAGGCTACTTCACAGTGACTGAAGTCAGAATTGGGACTGTATTAACCCAGCCTGGAGAGAAAAACACTTTTAGAACACCATTGAATGCCTTTTTACCAGGATCTTTTAAAGGCAAAGAACACAGAACTACATCCTGTTTGGCAGGGTGAAGTAAAATAAGAAAAAGCTCAACAGAAGCCAAAAACGTGCAGTGGTTCGGGCATTGGGACCCAAATTACTTGAACAGGGTTGGGTACTTTCTCATGGGACTTTCATAGCAGGAGTAGAAGGGGGATGTCTTAGGGTTTCTGCTGCTGTGAAGAGACCATGACCATGACAACTCTTATAAAGGAAAAACATTTGTGATGGCTCGCTTACATTTCAGAGGTTCAGTCCATTATCATGGTGAGACATGGCAGCGTGCAGCAGACATGGTACTGGAGAGGTAACAGTCCTACATCTTGTAGGCAGCAGAAAGTAGTCTGTCACTGTGCAGTGTCTTGAGCATATATGACACCCCAAAGCCCAGCCCCATAGTAACACTTCCTCTAACAATGCCATACCTACTCCATCAAGGCCACATCCAGTTTCTTTCAAACCACTGGGTGGGGTGTCAGTTTCAGGTGAAACCAAAGAAGGTTCCAGTTAGGACAAGATGGAAAAAACTTTGCCCTGTCCAGATCTCCCTAGTTTTATACTTTGATATAACCATGATAGGACCTAATAGAATACTTAATTCTGATGGTTAAGGGGAAGATACACATACTCCATTGTTAGAGTGGGGTATGTATATAATGGATACAGATAATGATCTCAGGTGACCAAGGGTGACCAAGTGCACTGTTAGAAGAGGGGTTTGCATAGTCCTAGGTTGCTAAACCACCTGTCTCATGCACAGTAGTGTTCTTAGATGGGAAACTTCTGTTTTTCCTAGTATGACCATTTGGATTTGGACTCTGGGATTTTTTATTAGTTGAGGGAAATAGTTCTGAGTTTAGTGTCAGTGAGGCAAAGAGGGTTGGCACTCTTACAGGAGTAGTTGAGCTTATTGCTGGAAAGAAGGCTGATGCTTAAAGCCAATCAGCAGATGTTGGTAGAATCCAGCTGTGGAATGAGTAGACAGGCATTCTAGTTATTTTTCTGCTGCTGAAATAAAACACCACGACTAAAAGCAACTTAAGGGAGAGTTTATTTGGGTTTATGGTTCCAGGAGAAGAATCCAAAATAATGGAGGAGACATGGCAGAAGGCAGCCAGAGCAGAAAAGCTAAGAAAACACAGCAAAGCACAGTGGACTACTGGGGTGAAGCTTTGGACTCTGAAGCCTGCCACCACCTTCAGTGACCTACTTCCTCCAGCAAGGCCAAACCACCATCAGCAGAGGCCCAAGTGTTCAAACGCCTGGAGTTAAAAAGCCAATCAAAACAAGGTTTTCTTTTTCTCAAGGGCTCTTTTTGTTGATTTGTTTTTGTTCTCTGGAAAGAGAAAGAGCATGAAGGTAAGTGGGAATGTGTGGAAGGACTTGGGGGGAGGTGACACCATGATCTAAATAATATCCTGTAAAAGATGTTTTAACTAAAAATAGAAAATAACAGTGGTGGTGGTGGCAGTGGCATGTGGGGTGTCTGTGTGTGATGGTGGCTCACACCTTTAATCCCAGCACTTGGGAGGCAGAGGCAGGTGGATCTCTGTGAGTCTGAGGCCAGCCTGAGTGGTCTACAGAGTGAGTTCAAGGGCAACCAGGATTTCACAGAGAAACCCTGCATCAAAAACCAAAACAGATTTAGGTGTGGCCTTGTGAAAGCGATTGAATGTGCTAATGACAGACATTAGGTGGAATGTCTATCTTTTGTATAACAATATAATGCTACTATAACTCCAAAGGAAACTCAACATTGTTTTGCCATTAACACATCCTTATAATAAAGAGAAGTGCGGCTCTCAGCAGTCACTACTGAGTCTGGGGGTGGAGCTCACATCCTGAACTATAACAAGACCTTCAGCTGGTTGATTCCCATAGTCTGAGGACCATCTTTCAAGCTGTGTGGCAAATGAGTGATGCCCTGGTATAGAGGATGCTGTCTCAGCGTCTGATTAAATATGGGTGTGGTTTAAGCATCTTCAGGATTTGTTTGACATGTCCCCAGTGGTCCTGATGTGCAGCCAGAGAAGCAGTGAGTTGGAAAAGCATATAATTTGTAACCACGAGGTAAATAGGACCCAGTAGTGTTTTTAAATGGTCACAGCTGCTTTGCATGTGGAATGATCGAATGGCCTAGGCAGCCACACACTTATGTAGGCCTACCTTTACAAAGAGCCAGCTGGCATCACACACACTGGGCTGATGTGCACAGCGGGAGCATCTCAAGCTGGGTGGCCTCTGGCCCATGCCCTCTATTTAAGCAGACAATTCCATTTGCTAGTACATGCTCTGGTCGCTGATTGCATAGCTTACAAAAGCACCAACTCCTACAGGTGTAAGTGCCTAGGATTTTTAACTGGTTCAAGGATGCCTGTCACCCTCAACTTCTCAACAAGTAAATTGCTCTTGATTTTGTATTTGACTATGAAACCACTTTACAAATTATTCCTTCTTAAGAGTTTAAAACAAGGACATGTAAATAAGTAATCATAGTAAAAACCACTGTCCTATAGCTCTCCAGAATGCTCTGAGTGGGCCAGGAGGTAGAGTGGGAGAATCTCCCCTTTCTGGACACACTTGGGATAGAACTCTGGACTTCATGTCTGCTGGCAAATGCCTTAACCCACTGAGCCCTTTTGCCAGCTCTAAAAGTATTTAAGTTCCTTCCTTCATTTCATTTTAGATATGTAACTAGTAGTAAGAATTGCTGGTAACCACATGTTTCCTTCCTACCTTCCTTCCATCCATCCAGCCTTCCTCCTTTCCGTTCATCCCTTTTGGGAACCCCTATATTGTTTTCTATGGCTGACAGGCAGATAGTGTGATGGGAGAAGGACTTCAGTACAGAATAGTGTCCTGATAGTCAGGGGCTTGTGCTGGCTAAGAGGTCCAAGGAGTGGCAC